GAGCGGCGCAAGCGGCTGGCACGAGAGCCGCCTCTGCCCGCCGCCGCGTCGGCGGCGTCGGCGTCGGCATCGCCGTCGTCGTCGTCGTCGTCGTCGTCGTCGTCGTCGTCGTCGTCGTCGTCGGTGTCGTCGTTCTTGTTCTCGACCGCTCGGCAGAAAAGAACGGCTGTAAAGATCTGCGGCGGTCTTGGACGCTTCGCCAAACAGCATCGCACGACACCAACCCTTCACTGAAGTGGCGACGGTTGCGAAGCTGACAGCTCCCCAGGAGGCCGCGAGGTCTCGCCTGGATCTGCGAGGCACTCCGCTCCGCTGGACCTCCTAGGAGCTCCCGAACGTGGCCACACATGCGCACTTGGCAGCCCCCCAGGGAGCACCGAGGTCTCGCCTGGGTCCAATTTGTCCCTCCGCTCCGCTGGAACTCCCAGGAGCCCTCGACATCAGCAACGGTTGCGAAGCTGACAGCCCCGCAGGGAGCCGCGAGGTCTTAGTCTGGGCCTGCGTGCCACTCCGCTCCACTGGGCACCCCGGCAACACACGAACGTGGCGACAATTGCACGATTGGCAGTCCCGCAGGGGGCACCGAGGTCTCGTGCGGATCCGCGCGTGCCTCGGCTCCGCTGGACCTCCCAGGGTGCACCCGAGAGTGGCGACAGCTGCGCAGCTGGCAGCCCCGTAGGGAGCACCGAGGTCTCGTCTGGATCCGCGCGTCCCTCCGCTCTGCTGGAGCTCCCAGGAGCGCACGAACATGGCGTTGGCTGCGCAGTTGGCAGCCCCCCATGGAGCGGGGAGGTCTCGTCTGGGTCCAAGTGCCCTGGACCTCCCAGCATCGCACGAAATTGGCGAGAGTTGCGCAGTCTGCAGCCCTCCAGGAGAATCGCGCGAGGCGTGCGGCAAGTAGAAGGTGGGAAGCACGCAGGCAGGATGCACAAGGCAAGAGGAGGGAGGCGGGAGGAGGACACACGCAGACGCGCGAGCAGTGCTCTATTCAAACGGGAACCCGCTGCAGGACGGTTGGCGATAAAGAAATTCGATGTGGTGTCTTCACCTTTGGCTCACCAGGGGCCGCGAAGCCATCGAGAGCATCGTCGAGGCGGGAGATGTGCCGAGCTCTGGAGCTTCCGCAGCCATCCTGCGTGTGGCAGTTGTCGGCGGAGCACGATAGGGCGGCAGTATCTTCGCTGTCGGCCGCCGCTGCAGGCGGCAGCGGCACTGCACATGCCTGCAGAAGACCGAGAAAGGACCGAGAAAAGACCGCATGCCTGCCTGCATGCGGCGGCAGCGGCAGAAGACCGAGAACACAGTGCCTGCAGCGGCACCGTTTTCTCGGTCTCCTCCATGCCCGTTGCCTCGTGGGGTGCGCCTCCTTGTGCGGCTGGCTCGCCCTGGCCCTGGACATCGATCGGTTTGTCTTTGCTCGTGCTGTCGACGCAGGGACTCGGTCTCCCCGAGCATGCTGCGTCCGCTCTTCGAGCCGGATCGTGGCGTCCGCGGTAGCGCTGCAGGTGATCGAAACGGCGGCGCACCTGCCGGCCCGACGGGCCCACCGCCGCTCTCCGCGCACCGGGCAGAGGACCCCAGCCCACCAGGCAGGGCCATGCCCCGACCACGGCCTCGACGCCCGTCGCCTCGCAGCTGCCCTCCTCCTCCTCCTCCTCCTCCTCCTCCTCCTCCTCCTCCTCCTCCTCCTCCTCCTCCTCCTGTCCAGCTACAGCGGAGCGGCCAGCATGAAGGACTCGCCCATTGGGCCGGCCTGCGCTCCGGTCTTGGACCACGGCGGCCGCTGCTGGTGCAGCAAGAGCTGCAGCATCGCTGTGCGGTGCCCCCGGGCCGTCGCGCACGCCGCGCAGATGTCTCGTCGCCCACCTCGGCGGCGGCGAGACTTGCCGCCCGCAGCACGTGTGCCCCGGAGTGTGCCCCACGTCCAGGCCGCAGCACGAGGGCCTTCCGCCCGCCGTGCTCCCTTGATCGGGGGCGGAAAAGAGGGGGGTGATGACTAGGGGGGGGGGGATATCATGGCGTGGGCCATGATAGTTCCCCAAATTTCATGGCGCCCCTTCTTATTTCATTACGTCCCTGGCCCCCCCGCTGGGCCGCGCACATGCCGCCGGTCATGATTTTCACCCCCCCCTCTTGGACACCCCCCTCTTGGCCGCTCCCGACTTGATGGAAGATCATCGCAGGCGCACGTGGGAAGGACAAGGACGCCGGGGTCGGCCGAGCCCTGGCGCATTCCCTGACCTCTGCCTCCCAGTCCTACAGGGGAGTGCCGCAGCAGCAAACTATCTCGAAAAACTGAAAACGTTCGGAGCTCCGCGCTGATTTCTTGGATCGGTGCCGGGGCCCCCTGGCGGCGCCTCCGGCGCCGCCCCTGACGCGCTCCGCGCGCCAGGGAGGGACGTCCAGCGCAAGTCCAAGAGATCCGCGCGGACCTCTGACAGCTTGTGCAAGGTGGGTGCGTACGAGGGGAGCGTCGGGGGCGTCGGGGCAAGATGGGTGCGAACGAGGGGGAGGAGGAGGAGGAGGAGGAGGAGGAGGAGGAGGAGGAGGAGGAGGAGGAGGAGGAGCCTGAGGAGGAGAAGGAGGAGCAGGAGGAGAAGAAGGGCAGGAGGAGGAGGACCAGTGAAAACCCAAGACTTCATCAACGATGTTGCAACAAACCCTCCCTCCAAGCTCCCTCTTCAAAGGCCCCTCAAAAGTTTCATCTTCACAGAAGGAAGTGCCCCTCTGGAAAGCAGCCGTTTGAAAACCTTGAGCAGTGCCAGAACACCAGTCCTGAGATTCTAACGCGGTGAATCACCGTTATCGTGCCTTGAATTGTGAACGACGTTCCTGAGTCGTGCCAAACAGCCACTTTCTGGGGCTTCGCATCACGAGTCAGCGCAACTGCGCCCTGACAGTCCAACATCGTGCCAAGGCATCATATCTGGGACGTTTGCCATCATAATCTTTGAACCTGCTGTAAGCTCTTAAAGCGACTGCGCGCGGCGCCTAGGCGAGAGCCACATTTTGACAAGGAACCGCCCTCCATCCGTGAAGCCTCTTCTATCTTTAAGACGGATGTGCGCGGCGCTACGGCGAGAGCCACATTTTGGAACCGACCCGCCCTCCATTCATGAAGCTGTTCCACATTCTAAGCTTCAGGCTCATTGGCGGGCAAGTCTCGGGGGAAACGCCCGGCCCGCCCTTCCGACTGGCTTCGGGATGCGACAGGGAGAAGTTATTCGTAAGGCAATGGAATGGAGAAGGAGGGAAAGGAAAAAGAGGAGGACGACGACGCTACGAGCTCCGCTCAAAGTCTGCCTAACGCAAAAAGAGGAGGAGGAACAGGAGAAGATAACAAGCTGTTAGAACATAGCCATGCTACTTTGTGAGGAGCATAGCCACACGTCTCTCGGTCAGGTGTCAGCGTTACCGTTGACATGTGTCTCGAGTGCTGAACAGTGGTGCACTCATGTTCTGTTGTTAAAGTGCATCATCACTGAATCGTTCCCGTGCAATTCCTTCTCGGGAACTCGCATAGTCGCGGAGCGAGGTCAATACCATCCACGTCAGCAGCAGCAGCACCCGCTCGTCCAGGATATCCGCTCCATGAGTTAAACATGCCTCAGGACCGAGACCGATGGTTGAACCTAACCCAGCTACGTTCAGCGCACGATGCTAGGCCGCGTGCTACTGGGGTGACTACAGTTGCGTGCAATTGGAACGGAAGGCTAATCATGAGGGGATGAAAGTGGCAAGCCGTTGAAAGTCACGACCGTCGCAAACGGGGAAGGATACGGGCTGTTAGTGGTGACCCGGAGTATGAGTTCGCTGCTCCTCAGCATCGTGAGCCGCAACATGCACGACGCTAAGAAAATTTTAGCTAGGAATCGCGAACATGGAAGATCAAACGAATGTGCAGAAAATTAGCCTGGCGAAGGACCCAACCATATGCAGTTGTGGGTACCGCAAGTGTGAGCATCTTCTTCGGTGGCAGTCCCTTTGGGGCCACGAACCGCATGAGGGGTGTGCCGTAGTGCCCACTGGGGCCTTCGGTGGAGCTCCCCATGGGGCCACGAACCGTGTGAGGGGTGTGCCGTAATGGGTGGCGGTGACGCGTGCAACCGCGCCCACTGGGGCCTTCGGTGGAGCTCGCATGCAAGGAGAGGTAGCGCGACCTGCACTTTGCCGCGGTGCCATGCACAACGGAGATCTTCGCACCGTAGTTGCAGCCAGTCTCGTTTTGAAGGTAGGCATCGCAGGCAGTGACGAACGCGAGGCCCTCGTCCACGAAACCCTTCTCGATGCACTTGGCGGAGGAGGCAGGAAGAGGAGGCGGAGGAGGAGGAAGAGCAAGAAGAGGAGTATAAGGAACACATCAAGAAAGGGAGGAAGAGTCCGTACCCATCCGTTGATCCGTCCCTCTCTCCATTTCTTGCCCTTTGCCGTTTCGCTTTGCCTGCTTGCTTGCTTCCGTTATTCCACTACCTGCCTCCCTTCCATGAAGATGAAGTCTTCGAAGTTTACTCATGCACGCGGAACGCGCGTGATTCTAGTATATATCTAGGTCTATGTGTGTATATGTGTGTATATATATATATATAACGGATGCGTGCGGCGCGAAGGCCGAGAGCCATTTGTTGAAAACCACCCGCCCTCAATCCGTGAAGCTCTTTCATTTTCTAGAACGAATGTGCGCGGCGCTAAAGCGAGATCCACATGTTGAAAACCACCCGCCTTCGATCCGTGAAGCTCTTGCACTTTTTAGATGAATGTGCGCGGCGCTCAGGCGAGAGCCACATTTTGAAAACCACCCGCCCTCCATCTGTGAAAATGCGATCCGTTTTCAGCACCTCAGGCGAAACGCCCAGCCCGCCCTTTCGACCAGCCTCGGGGTTCGACAGGGGAGGTGTTCTATATTAGGAAAGGGAATGCAGGAGGAGGAGGAGGAGAAGGAGGAGGAGGCAGGGCGAGGAGACAGGGCAAGGAGGGAGGGCGAGGAAGGCGCTGCCACCGAGGCTGGCCTCGCTGCTGCTGGCAGCACTGGCGCCCACGCTGCGGCAGGCGACAGGCACCACCGGATCGGAGGTGCCGCGCTCGCGCCCGCCTTGCAGCCGCGCGAGTGAGGTCTGTCGAGCTTTGCTTGCGGGTGGTCTTCGATCCGATGCTTGTGCGCAGTGCCATATACGGTCGGACCGAGGTATAAGATCAGGGCTGGCTCGGGAAAAGGTACCTACCTCTTCGTATTTGCTGGATCATCTTGTGCGCCCTGGGGGAGGGTACCTTCGAGTGATCTTGTGGTTTGGGGTGCTTCGGCCGGCGGAGGGCCTCGTGCTCTTGAAGGATGTTTTTTTGCCTCCGAGGCCCGGCAGCACTGCGCCATCCACAAGGGCGCGAAGGTAATCGCGCTTCGCGCGTCCCGGCTTCGGCTGGAGAGCTGCCCCTCCACAGGGGGGCGGCGCGAGGGCGCGAGGGTGCGAAGGTAATCGCGCATCGCAACTCGCGCGATGCGCGAGGCGCGAAGTTAGGTGACCAAGATATCGGACGGCCTTCTGAACATCCCGCCACCTCGCCGGGGTGCTGGGTCTCAGAGTCCTCAGGGATGCTTCGTGGGGTGGGTTCTGTATACGGCCGGCGCAACTGCTTCACGTCAGGACGTGGTCAATTCGCGACAAGAAGTGATTGGGTCACTACGAAAGTCAGAGCGTGAGTTACCTACCCCGCTTTCGCTTCCAGGCAGAACCAAGTCATACCACGCGCCTCCTCGTCAAGCGGCCTGACCAGCACAGGCCGTAGTTTGGCATCGCTTGGCATCTCTTGGAAGCGAGGTGGTCAAAAGCGAGGTGGGTTTGTTCTCCCCCTAGAGAAGCGACTGGTGTGGCAGGAGGCCCACCCCTGGCCTGTTGTTGCCCCTTCGCGTTGCGCTCTTCCCTCGCGGTGGCCCCGGAAGCGCCGCCCGCCGCGCGGCGGGGAGCCGTGCCCCCCGTGCGCCTCCCCGCGGCCGCACGGCCGCCCGGCCGCCACCGCCGCCTTGGGAGGAGGAGGACTGGCAACGCAGGCGGGGAGGGGGCGGGGGAGGGGGAGTGGACAAGCTAGGTGCGCTCGCGTCATATCTGACGTCCTACCCCTCCCTCCCATCCCTTACCATGGCGCTGATTTTCTCTATCCGCGGACGCGTGTCGTAGCGGACCTGTGGCTCCGCGCGCGCGTGCGTAGTGGGTGGTGGTGCACGTGCGTGCGTGCGTGCGTGTGTGCGTGGTGTGGTGGTGGTGGTGTGGTGGGTGGTGGTGGTGGTGGTGGTGGTGGTGGTGGTGGTGGTGGTGGTGGTGGTGCTGGTGCTGGTGCTGGTGGTGGTGGTGGTGGTGGTGGTGGTGGTGGTGGTGGTGGTGGCGGTGCGGCGCGGTGGTGGCGGGCGGATGGGCGCGCGAGAAAAAGGCCCGCGCTGGGGCGAGAACGCCATCCTGAACGACGGAGGCCAAACACCGATCCGAAAATGAGGCCCACGCTGCAGCGGGAGCACGATTCGGAACGATTCGGGAGCAGAAATGAGGCCGGCGCCTCAACGAGAGCAGCATTTTGGGAAAAAATGACGCCGGCGCCTCAGCGAGAGTCGTTTCCCGGGATTTCCCGGGCATCCTGTGTGTAAAAAAACAGTACGCGGAGAGTGCGCGGCCATCACCCGGACGCCATCAGGGGAAGAGGAAGAGTATTTTCATATTGAGTAATTATGGAGGGGGAGCGGGAGGAGGAGGAGGAGGAGGAGGAGGAGGAGGAGGAGGAGGAGGAGGAGGAGGAGGAGGAGGAGGGGGAGGAGGACAAGCTAGGTGCGCTCGCGTCATATCTGACATCCTGCCCCTCCCTCCCATCCCTTACTATGGCGCAGATCCCCTCTCTACTCGCACAGTCGGATGTCGAGCAGGGCGATGATCCCGAAAGGGTACGCGATGCATTGTAGAGCACGGCATGGCATGGTGGCTTCTAGCGGAGAGGGGGAGGGAACGGGGAGGGAGAGCGAGTGGGCGCAGGAGGGGGCGGAGGAGGGGGATGGGGGGAGGGGGAGGAAGGCCGAGGAGGGGGAGGGGAGGGCGAGGGGGAGAAGGGGGAGGGTCGGGTAAGGGAGGGGGGAGGGGGGAAGGAGATCTCCAATCATAAACGTAAACAATGAAGAGGAGGGATAGACGTATGACATGTGTGCCGGGTAACCGTTTAGACAATCAATGGGAGTAGGAGGTGGAGGATAACGAAGAGGACGACGACAGCGACGATGAGCAGAATAATAGGAGGAAGAGGAGGATGAAGAGGAGCAGGAGGAGGAGGAGGAGGAGGAGGAGGAGGAGGAGGAGAGAAGGAGGAGGAGGAGGAGGAGGAGGAGGAGGAGCGGGGGCGGGGATGGGGAGAAAGCGGAAGATGTATGGGGGTGGAGGAGGAGGAAGCCCTGCTGCAGGAGCCTGGGGGGGGCTTGTCTTCTGTCTGTCTCTGTCTCTCTCTCTCTCTCTTGCTGCGGTCCTCGAGCGTGTGCGCTTTTTAAGACGAGACCCTGGGTTTGTTTTCCCTAGCTGCCCGCTCGGACTCGCGGCGGACTCGTGGTGCTCCTGCAGAGAAGAAGGAAGAGGACGAGATCCCTGGGGGCTGCCCGATCCTCAATCCTCAACAACAACGGCGACGGCATCGACGACGACGACGCCGAGGCGAGGGCGATGGCGAGGGCGGCAACGACGCCGACAACGACGACGACCACGCCGATGGCCGGGGCCCGCGCTCGCGCGGAGGTGCCCGGGCCGCTGGACGCAGGACCCGTGGGGGTGCTCCTCCTTTGCGTGCCTGGCGCGGCAGCTGCATGCGGGGGCCCCCCGAGCGGTGTGGGGACCACACCGATTTTGTCGGCCAGAGGCGAGAGTGACTTCTCGCTGGAGCTGCCTCCGGTGCGGGCACGCTGGTGGAGGCCTCCCAGATGGGGTCCGAGCAGATGGGGTCGAAGGATCGCGCCGCATCGCCGACGCAGCGCCGATGCAGCGGCGACGGCGCCCCCGCTGAGGCCCACGTGGCCGCAGGCCGGGCACCCTCCGAGCTCGGAGCCGCGGCGGAGGCCGGCCGGTCGGGGGAGTGAGGAGGCGCGCAGGGGCTGGGACGCAGGAGGAACGGGCAAGAAGGGAGCAAGAGGAGGAGGAGGGGCCATCATGGAGCCAGGCGGAGCAGAGAAGCGAGCCCGCGCGAGAGGACCGCCTCACAGAGAGTACGGTCCCAGCGCGAAACGGGCCGGCCTCCGCACCCACACGGGGAGACGAGGAGCACGAGGAGGAGGAGGAGGAGGAGGAGGAGGAGGAGGAGCAGGAGGAGAGAGAGAGGAGAGGAGGAGGAGGAGGAGGAGGAGGAGGAGGAGGAGGAGGAGGAGGACGACGACCTCGGCCCAAGGCGACACGGTCCTCTCCCCGGCCCCTCCCCGGCTCCGCCCCACGACGCCGGCCTCTGGCCGCTTGCCCCCTCGGGAGCCGAGTCATCACGCCCGCGCGCGCGCAGGAGACGAGGAAGCGGGGTGCACCGCCTCGCTGCTCCAGAAGGCCCCCAACGGTCGGGCGACGAAATCTATACATATCCACTGCTCCCTGGCCAGGCCCACTCTGAACCCAGGAGCTGTGTATACGCCCTCCTGGCCCAGCCAGGAGTCATCACGCCCGCGCGCGCGCAGGAGACGAGGAAGCGGGGTGCACCGCCTCGCTGCTCCAGTCGGGCGACGAAATCTATACATATCCACTGCTCCCTGGCCAGGCCCACTCTGAACCCAGGAGCTGTGTATACGCCCTCCTGGCCCAGCCAGGAGGGTGTGGCGTATACACTGCTGCTGGGTTCACGGTGTGCCTGGCCAGGGAGCAGTGGATATGTATAGATTCGGTCGCCCTACAACGGGGGGGGGGGCCGAGAGCAGGGAGAAGCGAGGGAGGGAGAGCCATCCATATCTGGTCGTATCCGTACACGCTGTTCATTTGTGATTCTTCGAGAGTTCTTTGTTTTTTGGGGGGGGCCAGGATCCTTTCATTTCTGATTCTTCTGTCCTGGGCCCCTTCCTGGCCACTAGGGGCCAGGGAAAATTATAATCGAGCGCAATTAGAAATGAGCACGATTAGAAATGAGCGACGCGTAGTCCTATATGTATACGTATATACACCTGCACACACAGATGCACATGCGTACGCACTCGTGTCTCTGCAGCGGGCAGACTGGATGGGGAGGAGGGGGAGGCAATGCAGCAGGCTGGGCGACTGCGTTCGCTTCGGCTGGTTTACCCACATCCGAGCTCCGCCTTCTCATCTCTGATGCCCCTTCCTCATCCTCCTTCTTCTCATCCTCTGCGTCGACAGCTTCACATCTTACCTTGCGATGGAACTGGCCCGAGCAGCCAGCAGAGCTCCACTGTGTATACTGAGTTAGCCCAGGCAGGCTCGCCGTGAAGGCTGGCTGTTGCCCACTACGAGTTGCCCCACGCTCCCCTCCGACACACGGCAGGTCCGCGTCGCTTCGACGCGCCAGCGATGTTGGCGCGGGCTTGGCTGGCTTCGTATAGTATACTGCAACACAGCCCGCCTGCATTCTAGCACAGTCTTTTCAAGTCTGACTCCATTCTTGACGTGGGTCCCTGGACTGCCTCAGGCTTTCAATGTTTGCCTCCGCTGCGAATCAGCCACTGCCGCCTCCAAGAGGTATTCCATGACCTACGTATCCTGCCGGTGCAATGATCTGTTCGTCAATGTGTTGGCATCGAATGCGTGTCTCCTCTTCGCATTTCCCATCTCGCGACGCCACCTCTGCCTCGGACGGCAGCCTGGACACTCGCTCCATCAGTTCTGGGACAAGCAGTTGTCATCTAATCTTAACTGTAATGGTGACCCTTCGCTGCAAGAGCTTGCTTAGAAGAGATTTGGATACAAGAAAGGCTCGGCTCTGGGACCATGCCAAGATGAACTCCCGACTACAGCATGCAAATTCCAGTCTGCAGCGCCGAGGGCTGTAATTAGGCGATCCCTCGTGTCATTCGTACGCTGCACCGCGTCGTCAACCGAAATCTTGAGCACAGGCCCAAGGGCGCCTCGCTGGAGAAGGACGCAGAAGGATGGACGACGTAGAAACGAGGATGGACAGATAGCGATATTCTCGCAGGACGAGGGATTTTCCTCTTGAGGTGCCAGCGGCGATGAGCGATTTGCGGAAAAGTGCTGTCGCCGCCAAACGCACAGCTTTTGGATCAGTTATTTAATCGCTTCGCTCATTCCGCCGGCCCATAATGTCGCCCTGTGGTCGCCTGTCCGAGTGGTCGTTTGCAGTGTGGAGCTGCGGCGTCGGGAGCCGAACGCGGGGGAGGAGGACCACCCCGACCCGCGTTTCCCAAGTCGCGTCTGGCTGGAGTCTTGGAGGCGTCCTGGGGGCCTCCTGAGGGTTTTTTGGAGGCCTCCTGAGGGCCTTTTGGAGGCCTCTTGAGGCCTCTTGAGGGCCTCTTGGGGGCCTCTTGGGGCCTTCGGGGGCGTCTTGGGGCCTCCCGGGAGCCTCTAAGGGCCGAGAGCTCGAAACTCTGTTTCGTGAACCCCCTCTTGGGGCGTTCTTGAAGCGTTCTTGGGGCCCTCTTGGGCCGTCTTGGAGGAGTCTTGGGCCGTCTTCGAGCCCTCTTGGGCCATCTTGGGGCCCTCTTGGGGGCCTCTGGGGCCCTCTTGGGGCGATCTTGGGGGCCTCTTGGGCCGTCTTGGGGCGTCGGGAAGCCGAAAAGGTGGAAACTCCAAAATCTCTCAAAAACCTAAGGAAAAACAATGAATTTTGCCTCCGGGGGCCCTCTTGGGAGTGCTCTTGGAGGCCTCTTGGGGCGTCTGGGGGCTATCTTGGGCGTCTTGGAGCGATCTTGTGGCATGTCGGACCCCTCGTGTACCATCTTGGGGGCCTCTTGGGGGCCTCTTGGCCTTTCTTGGGGCTCTCGGGGACGTCTCGGAGCCCTGTTGGTGCGCTCATGGAGCGCTCTGGTGGAGTCGCCCGGGGATCAGCCGGGGATCGCCCGGGGTACTTTTCGTCCGGGACCCCCAGGGGCCGCCCCGCGCGCGCGAACTAGAGAATTGTTAACCAGTTTTCGGAGATCTTAGCACGCCTCTGGCCCGTTGGGCCGGCGAATTTGCAGCAGCAGGAGAGTGAGGAGAGATGTCTTCATGCTGGGTGCGACCCGTGTGCAGTGAGGATTGAGGGGGTCCGTGAGAAAACGCGTGACCTGTCTGTGGCAGTTTGAACCTCCCCTTGCTTTATTCAAAATCTGAACACTGGAGGATGTAGTCAGGAGGAAGGGTTGGAGGAGGAAACGGGCAATGAGAAAGAGCGCGGGGAGGAACGGTGGAAGATGAGGAGAAAACAGGAGGGGCATGAGGAGGGGGAAGTGGACGAGCAGCGCAAGGATGAGGACGGAGCATGGATGGGTGGATGGAGGGATAGAGGAAGACTAGGGGTGCGGTGAGGACAAGCAGGGCAGACGAGGAGGACCCAGAGAGGGCAGGCCATCCAGCATAACCCAGCCCCCGACGTCAACTCGACCCGCGCGGTGGCCGGCGAGCTGCGGGGCGCCGACGGCAGCAGCCCGCTCGGCGCCAGCCGGCGCGCGAGCAAGGCGAGCGGCTCTGGGGTCGCCGCTGCGGAGCGGTTCTGGCCGCACACCGTCGACTGCGGTGTGCGCGTGCGTGAGTGTGTGTGTGTGTGCGTGTGTGTGTGTGTGTGTCTGTCTGTCTGTCTGTCTGTCTGTCTGTCTGTCTGTCTGTCTGTCTGTCTGTCTGTGCGTGCGTGCGTGCGTGCGTGCGTGCGTGCGTGCACCGCCTGTGGGGCTGAGCGTGCGCGCGCGGGTCGGCGCACCGCCCGTGGGGCTGGGCGTCTTCTCTTCTTGCTGCTCGCCTGCCCCTGCCCGAGATGCCTCGGCTTTGGCTGGAGAGCGTTTCGCTGACGCTCGAATTCAGTTCTGTTCGCGCCCCCTTGCGCTGTTGATCCAACGTCGTGGAAGAGAAGAGTGGTATTGAGCAGGTACATGCTTGAGAAAGTGAATTGGCATGAATAGGGATGGTTCTTGTGAGTGGTAAGGCGTGCTTCCGCTGGTCACTCAGTGGCCTTTGCAGTGTTCCAGTGGGAGCTGGCGGGAAGCTCTACCTCAATTGTCTGGTCTAGCAGATCTCAGTTCCAAATAAAGAAACACAGCTGAATCGCCTGCGTGTGTCTCGAGATTCTCCTTCAGAGTGTGCGCGAATACAGTCGGACCGAGGTATAAGATCAAGGTCGGTTCGGGGATGTTACCCTGATATTCTTCGTGTGTGTTGGGTGTTCTTGTTCATCCTGGGGAGGGTACCCTTGGATGTTCTGTGTGTTTTGGCCGTCTGTGGGTCTCATGTTTTTGAGGGATGTTCTTGTGTCCTAGGTCCAGCTGTATGATTGGTCAAGTGCGGGTGGGGGAGATCAGCTGTGAATTGTGAGCGGCGGAAGCTTACCAAGCTACGCGGGCACCCGCCTGCGCCAACGCTGCCTCGGGCATCCTGACCTTGGTTGTGCTTCTTGAGTGTGGAGAGACTAACGCCGAAGACAGTGCCAATGCGCACGCGCAAATATCTACGCATGCATCCATACTGCTAGACATGCATGTGTATGCGCATATCAGTTTGCAAACGGTCCTGCACCACGATCCACCGGTCGCTCCGTCGACGGTCGTTGTCGGGAGCCTTGAGACGGGGGTCAATGCAAACGGGGGTCAGCCAGGGCACCAGGTCCTGCAGGATCCTGCGAAGACCCCCTCTGGCTGACCCGGGTTAGCGAGCCGCGAGGCGGCCGCGCATATTGGCTGACCCGAGTTTGCGAAGATCTGCGTTGCAGTTTTTTTTTCCTGCATTGCAGTTTTTGGTTTCCCGCTGACCCGGGTCTGGATTGACCCGGGTCAGAAGATCCCCGACGTTGGGCCACCGTCTTTTCATTTCACGTAAAAAAGGAGCACGGCCTACAGTCAGCGCCGCGACCAACAAAGTTACCCCAGGTGGTAATCCCCAAGAGCTCCTCCAATACCACATGGATGCACCTCTGTTGGCTCGAGTGTGTACACCCTAGGCGATGCTTAAGAAAACCTAAGTTTTCGTCCAGAGTCTCGATTATTCTTAACTTTTCAATGTAAATCCCAAGATTTTGATAGGAGTTCTGGGTTTGTAATCAGATTATGAGACTATGAATTTCTTAACCCATGATTTCTTAAGCATTTCGCAGGGTGTAGTCTGAGCTTGAAACTTCAAAGGCGTGTGCCTTCCTGGCATGGGTCGCACTCGGTCGGGGCATACCACAGAGGCTTCACACCTCCCCAGAGGAAATACACAAGTGCCTCGTCTTTGGGTCAATATGCGAATCGTGTATGTCTTGTAATGCCAGGAAACACGACAGCCTTTACACATTGTTCATTTCTCATTCTTCGAGAGTTCTTTGATTTTTGTTGGCCTCTTCCTGGCCGCTAGGGGGCCAAGAACAATTAGAAACGAGCACAATTAGAAATGAGCACGATTAGAAATGAACGACGTGTAGCTGTTTCTCATGGCGCCCGGTGCTTCGTAAGCCCAGCTCGGGTTGCCATTCATCTCCTTTGCCGTTGCTGTGCCCCGCGCAGGCGAAACTGGTCATCTGGATCTCAGCTTTCGCACGTTCTGGATCGTCAACCACGGGGGATGGCTCAGAGCTCGTTTTGACACAGGAGGGGACCAGTCAGCTGCAGCATGGGCGGTGTGGTGCAATTTACAGGTTTTACTTAACGCAGTTGGTATGCAGGAGCTCCTTTAAAGGAGGCGATGGATTGTTCAGGGCCTGCTTTTGGCAAGGAGCGGGAATCGGAGCTCTGATTGCGGCGGGTGAGAAGTTCAGTCGAAGTAATCGCGGTAGGCAAGGCAAGATGCTTTGGCTGAGTTTTTTGCACAGTCACATGCGTGTAATGACCATGCAATCAACATGCGCTGGCCCTCGAAAGCGACGTGATTGAGTGCACAGGGCAACCACACGGATGGAATTCTATTCCGAGCGGAAAAGTTGCATACCGGCCTCGTTGGGCTTTTTCTCCAAATCGGCTTGCCCTGTAGGAGTCCTAGCTCATCAGAAGTAATTGGTCTTTAGGACCCCCTCCTTTTTCCAATGGCCCCCCTTCTTCCAGTGGCACCCCGCCGTTTTCCAATGGCACTTGCTTGCTTGCTCTTGCGTGCTTGCTCTCGCTTGCTTGCTCTTGCTTGCCCTTGCTTGCTTGCACTTGATCGCTGGCTCTTGGTTGCTTGTTATTACTCGCTTGCGCTTGCTCACTTCCGCTTTCTTGCTGCGCTTGCTTGATTTTGCTCCTCCCGTTCTCCTCCCGTCCTGCTCCCTTCCTCCTTTCGTCCTCCTCCCATCCTCCTCTCCTCCTCCTCTTGTCCTCCTATCTATTTGGAGTCAGCGCTGGCTGATATTTTTCCTGGATTTGGCAAAATGGTCGTCGTTGGTACCTACTCGTAGTGACTCGCAGATCGCATTCCGGTTCGCGCTGCAACAGGAGAAGGGATGGAAGGAAAGGTAGAAGAAGAGTTGGATGAGGAAGATTCTGCGGCGGTGAACCTGCGCGGAACTCCAAATGCTAACGTGGGTGTAGGAAGAGGAGGAGGAAAAGAGGAGCCGCAGGGCGAGGGGGAGGAGTAGGCGGGAATGGCAACAGAGAAGGAGCAGGAGGAGAATGAATTGCACGCCGTTGCGATGCATATCATTTTCGCTAAACAGTGCTGACACTTAGGGGCTTCTACTTCGGATGTGAAGCACTGGGCCTGTGTGTAGGTCTGGCGGCTCCGTGCCGTCTGTCGCCGCCTCGTCACCGCCCGTTGCCTGGGCTTGTGTGTCGGTTTGGCGGCTCTGTGCCGGCCGTCGCCGCCCCGTCGCCGCCCGTCGCCGCTGATTTGCCGTCGCGTTGCGCTGCTTTGCGTTGCTTTGCGTCGCATTGTCTTGTGCTGTTCTTCGTTGCTCTGCACTGCTTGGCTGCGCTTGCTTCGCATTGCTGAGCGGTGCATTGCCCTTCGCTGCGTTGCTGTAGTTTCGCATCCTTTTAACTACGTAGCCACAGAGATTCTTACGATCGCCTCTACCACATCAACTGCGCCACATAGCCTACACCGCAGATCTCACACCATTTAGATGAGTACGTTAGCTCCTACCACCGTGGTTGCACCACATTTACGCCGCGTGCCTCATACCACATAGATGAGTACGCTAGCTCCTACCACATAGACTGCCTCAATCGGTCGTCGCGACACCAGTATTACATATATTGCACCACTACGGCCCATTACGCGGATTGCTTTGCGCGGATTTCGTAAGGTGGTTTGCACCACATAGTTTGCAGCGCGCAGCTTGCACCACATACATTGTGCCACCCAATATACCATCAACCACTGCTTAGTGCCCGCGCTAGCTGACAAAGTTTGGAAGCCGAAGCGGAGGAGGAAGAGGGCGGTTGTTTTTGCGCTTGCTGTCTATGGTGCAGCTCTGGAGGCGAGAGGGGCGACTGCCCTTGCCCGTCATGTGGATTTGTGTCGGCGGCAGCCGGGTTGTCCGACTGACTGGGCTATGTGAGAGCCTCTTCGCCATGGTCAACTTGGGTGTTGGGTGTAGCTTGTGATGGAGAGAGGGAGAGAGAGAGAGAGAGTGGCAAAACATAAAGAGATAAAGAGAGAGAGAGAGAAGGAGCGGCAGTGAGAGAGAGAGAGAGATCGAGAAGGAGGACATGAGAGAGAGGAGATGTATCGGTGGTGCGGGGGGGGGAGAGAGGGAGAGAGAGAGAGAGAGAAAGAGAGAGAGAGAGAAAGAAATAAAGAAAGAGCGATAATGAGAGCGAGAGAGACAGAGAGAGAGATGAGAGAGTAACACAAACAAGAGACTGGTAGGCGTGGTGGCAGCTTCATGCGGATGCATGACGGGGAGGATTGAACAATTGGGTGAAAGAGGGGGTGGGGGAGAGAGAGAGAGAGAGAGAGAGAGAGAGCGAGAAACATGATATATAGAGAAAGAGAGAAGGAGAGAGAGAGAGAGAGAGAGAGAGAAAAAAAAACGAGAGACGAGATATGAGATAGAAGGAAGAGAGCGAGAAAGAGTGGGGAGAGAGTGAGAGAGAGGGAGAGGTAGAGAGAGAGAGATAACGAGAGAAACAAGAGAGAGAGAGAGAGACAGGGAGAGAAAGAGAGAGAGAGAGGGTAAGAAAGAGAGAGAGAGAGAGAGAGCGAGAGATGGAACCGTAGGAGAGAGCGAGCGACAGGGAGATAGACGAGGGAGGCAGAGACAGAGAAAAAAGGATGCAGAGAAAGAGGGGACCATAGGAGAGAGAGGGAGAGAAGGAACATATAGAGATAAAGACGGAGGCAAAGAGGCACCCTGGCATTTCAAAAAGCTTTGATCATTGGTCCTCGATGATTCTTCTCCTCCTCATCATCACTCCTTCTCACTCCTTCCCCCTCCCCGTCCTCAGCCTCGAGGCACTCCCCCCTCCACCCTCCCCCCACTCATTCCGGAGGCGCCCGTTCTCACCCTTCCTCGAGGGGCCGCAACGGCCCGCCATCAGTGAGCGGTAGTGGCGGACGCCCATGACGGTTTTGGAAGGGAGGAGGGGGAGGAGGCAAAATTTGCCGCATGCAGCCGGTCTCGGTCCTGGCGCTCCGTAGTGCCTCCTGGCCGACTTCTCAGTGACCCCCCCCGCCCTTCTCTCCAGTCGGGCGAAAGGGGGGGAATAGGGAAAGGGTTGGGCCCGAAATCTCCTGCGTGCACCTGGTTTCAGCCTCGCCGCTGGGCGCTTTCCTCTGTGCCTTGGCGCCTCTGGCGCATTCCGCGCAATCTTACTCCCCTTTGCTACCCCCCTCTCGTCCCACCCTGCTCTGGGCCACCCCGACCATCAGAAACACATGCTTGGCGAAGGACCCAACCCTATCCAGCTGCGAGTGGCGCAGGGTATAGTCTATATCCATCCCGAGACGACTTCGGGATTTCGAGGGGAATCCAGCCGTGGCGACGAGGGCGTCCCTGAAGGCCCAGAAGGCACCCAATCGGGCGGGGCTAGGTCTAGGAGAAATCCGTTCCAGAGCGCTCCTGAACGCTCTCAGAGCGTTCCGGAGCGCTCTGAGAGGGCCGCGGCGCCCGAGTCGTCTTCAGCGCCGCCGGATCCTAGAGATTCTCGATGCATCTCCACTCAAAATTTATCTTCGTCCTGGTTCCGTCTGACCCAAGTGGCCCCAAATGCCCCAGCTCCTCTGGTTCGACTCCTCTGGCTTTCCTCCCTCGATCGAGGTCGACCGTGCTCTCCCTTGCCACCCGCACCGACTCGGCCGTCTTCGCGCTCTTCGAGCCCTGCCACGAGGGCGACGTGCTGGAGCCACACCTGGCCGCTCAGGCGTCTGTCCTCCTGCTTCTCCCTCGCAGGGGGTAGGAGGTAGGAGGGGAGGGGGAGGGAGAGGACGACGAGGAGCAGGAGGGAGGAGGACAACGACGAGCAGCACGACGAGGAGCAGGAGGGAGGGGAGGAGGACGGCGAGGAGCACGATGGGGGAGGGGAGGACGACGAGGGACAGGAGGAGGAGGAGGAGGAGGAGGGGGAGGGGGAGGAGGAGGAGGAGGAGGAGGAGGAGGAGGAGGAGGAGGAGGAGGAGGAGGAGGAGGAGGGGAGGAGGAGGAGGGGATGAGGAGGAGAGGGGGAGGGGAGGGGGAAGGAGAAGAGTACTATATCTGTCCCTCTCTCACTCTCTCACTCACTCTCTCGCCTCTCTTCCTCTCTAAATACATCTGTATATATGTCGGCGGTGCCCGGTGCGGAGCGAACCCCCCCCCCCGGTAATCTCTCCTGGGGGGTTTCGAGCTGGCGCCATTCCCGGTGCGAGCCTGCACGAACCCCCCCGGTAAACACGACCTCCTCTGGTAGGCTGCACGAAACCCCCGGTAAGGACGCAACCCCTCCGTAAGCGGCGCGCTCCCAGCACGCGCGAAACCCAGCCCCGACGCGCGAATCTTACCAGGACGGGCCGGAACACGGCGGCGGCATTGCATCCCAGGGCCGTGCCGGAACACGGCGGCACTGTTCTTCTCTACGCGGCCGTGCCGTCGACCCCCCACAGCGGCTCTCGGGAGTTGCGCCGCAGCCTCTCGTATTGTGGCCACGAGCCACAATACGAGAGGCTGCGGCGGAACAAAGGCGAGCAGACGCGAATAGAGAACACAAGGCGAGCACACGCCACACTTCGGCAGGGAGCCACCCTTCCCAACCGCCCCCCTCCCCCCCCCCCCAACCCACCCCCCACTCCCACCCCCCCACTCCCACAGGGGGGGGGGGGAGCCCAGGTAGACGCAGTGCGGCCTGCACGAAACCCCCCGGTAAAGCGGCAAGGGGGGGGTGTTCTAAGCCGCTGGCGGCACCCGGTGCGGGCTGCACGAAACCCCCCGGTAGTGCACGAAACCCCCCGGTAGTGCTGGGGGGGGGGTTCGTGCCACGGCGCACCGCCGACATATATATATATATATATATATATATATATAGTGCATTATCCATCTATCCCTTCCCCTGTCCCTATCCCTGTCCCGATCCCCCCATTGTGGCTCCCCATTGGGGCCCCCATCGTAATTGCGTAAAGCTGTTCAGGGTCTTCTGCTGTAAGGATGTCATTGTTTTTTGTTCATGGCATGTGGGATGAGACATGGGACACTGCCCAACTGTATCACAATTTTGTTTCTGGAACTGCCCGCTCGGGCAGAGCTGGAAGCCCAAGGCGGTCGGGCCTCCAGAGTCGTCTTTTTGGTCTGGGGTAGTGGCATCGACCCTTGTTGACGTACAGCACAGTGCCTCCAGCATGAAAGTCTGGCGCATGGAAATCCCGTGCGTGTTTCTCCAGGTGTCGGTTTTACAATGTTTGTCAACGGTCTTGTGCAAGGGTTGATGACTCGTTTTGTGTTTGATTTTGCCGCATGCCACCGAAGGAGGAGACTGAGGATGATATTCCAAAGCGAACGCAAGATGCATCACCGATGCTGGATCAGGCCCTTCCGTTCCAAGCCTGCTTTTTGTAAGTCACTTTCATCGGAGGTTGATGGACCTCCTACCCTAACACGTCGATCAGCGATTTGGCCGTTTTCGGTTCGCGAGAGGGCGTCGCGGCCTTCATGTTTGCGGGTCCAGGTCCGTCGGTTTCGGTCCCATGCCGTTTTCACTGAGGGGAGGTTTGGCCAAAGGGAGGTTTGTCCACCGCCGAGTAAGTCATTGTCAGCGTGTTCTTATCACTACCGAAATTGCCCCCCCCCCCCCCCCCCCCCCTGGATCACGAGCGCCCCATGGGCCTACCATTTCAGACGACAGGCACGCTTTGGAAGTACACATTGTTCATGTCTGAGTCTTCGGAAGTTCTTTGGTTTTTGGGGGCCAAGATCCTTTCATTTCTAATTCTTCTATCCTGGGCCTCTTCCTGGCCACTGGGGGGCCAGGAACAATTAGAAACGAGCACACTTAGAAATGAGCACGATTAGAAATGAACGACGTGTAAACTACCAACCATGTGTGCGATTCGTACGTCGGGTGTCAGTCAAGCTCGTGGGAGTGTTCATCCATGTGTGGATGATTTGAAACGGGGCCGCCCTTCATCAGTGGTGCTGCTGCACTGTTTCAGCTTCGGCGTCCGACCTTCGAGGCAGTGGCAAGCGAGGCGCCATTTCGCATAGGAGCGGCCCTTCTTATCTTCGCTGTCGATTGCTTATGGCAGTTTCGAAACACAGAGCTTTGAAGCGTCCCAGGGGAACGCATCACGTCGAGAAAGAGCAACACCTCACTCGCGCCGCCCTCTCTCTCATTCTCCCTCTCTCTTTCTCTCTGCCACCAGCGCGGGCAAAGAGCTCGAACGGATAGTTGAGTGCCGGGGGGTCCCGTCAAGAAGCGATAAGGCCGCGCGGCCAGACGGTGCCCCCAGCAGGCCCAGACAGAAGCGGCGTCGCGTGCCGACACGCCAACGGGGCCAGCTCCTGTGCGCCTTTGCCGCCCGCTGACGTGGCGTTCAGACGCGTAAGCTCGTAAGCTTCAGGAGGGAAAAAACACACAGACACAATTCATCGTCGATTCCCAGAAAATATGGGAAAATGTGGGAAGTGGGGGGGGAAGACAAGAACCCAAGAAGTATGTGAAACTATGGGGAATCCTGTTATTAGTGTGTATTTGTTTGCGTGTCCCAGGGCCCCTTCAAAGCTGTGAGTCAATCGTTTTCCTCGAGTTCCCCCTGCCCCCCCCCCCTCCGACAGGGCTGCGGCGCGCTGCTGCTGCAGCTCGCGAGCTGTGACTTCACAGGCACGGGGCGCGCCCCCCCCCCCCCCCCCTCGCCGCCGCCGCGGCGGCGTCCGCGGCCCAAGGCCATGGCCAGAGCTCACCCTGCGAGAGGTCCCGGGGCCGAGCCTGTGAGGGAGGGGGGCTCCGAGATCCTGGCGTCTCCAGTCTTTCGGTGCGGGCGGTTTCGCATTGTTTCGGGCCCCGGACCATCACAGATCGATCGGGCTCGGAGGGCTCCGCTGAAAGATGGGGTCTATGTCTCCTGTCGACATCTTTGCCGATGTTATTATTTTTCTCACCGTCGGTTCTTAGAGGGGGCGACGGCGAGGAGGGAGGAGGCGGAGAAGGAGGAGGAGGAGGAGGAGGAGGAGGAGGGCGGAGGGAGGAAGGAGGAGGAGGAGGAGGAGGAGGGCGGAGGACGGCGAGGAGGGAGGAGGAGGGAGGAAGAGGAGGAGGAGGAAGAGGAGGAGGAGGAGGGAGAAGAACCGGGAGGGAGAAGGAAGGAGGGCGGAGCGAGGAGCAGGGAAGAGGAAGGGAAAGATGGAGGAGGAGGAGGAGGAGGAGGAGGAGGAGGGATAGACAGAGAGAGAGAGAGAGAGACAGAGAGCAAGACGCTACAACCCACCACCCTCGACAAGGCCGCCGTTACATCGACAAGGCCGTCCCTGGGCGATCAGGGCGAGTGGCTCAGAAGGGCTTCTTGCGTGTGGCGGGGTGCCTTCCCTCGCGCGGACGTGCCGAACGACCAGCGGTCGCACGAGGCCCCCCTCCCCCCCTGGACAGCTTCTGCGAATAGAGTATGGAGCCATCTGACGCTGGCGTGTCTGGCACACTCCGCGGCAGAAGGGCACACACGGGAGGCGTACCGTTCAATGCCCCTGCTCGTGGGTTCGGTCGATCTTGCCTCCGCCCCAGTCCACCGGCCCTGCAGGGGGGGGGTGTGGAGGCAGGCGAAGGTTGGAGGAGAGGCGCCGCTGCACCCACGTCTCCCCCACCCCGATGGGTGTCCGGGGGGGTGTCGGGGTGTCGGGGGGGGAGATAGAGATATGTACTGACGACCGGAAGACGACCAGGATACGGGGGGGGAAGGGGGCACACCCGAGTAGAGGATGAGGAGGAGGGATGCGTGCATCTTTTTGTACAATGCATATGTATGTGTGCGCATATGAACCTGTGCATGTATATGTTTATACATGATTGTATACATATGTCTTTGTATATGTACATGTACAGACATATGTATGCGCATATGTCTATGTATACGTATATGTCTAAGTATATGTTTACACATGTGTGGACGTCCACGTATGTGTATATGTAATTGCAAATGTATGTGCTTGTGTCTTCGTAGATGTTTACGTTTATGTATATGTATACGTATATGCATGAGTATGTGTAGATACATGTGTAGCTGATTGTGCATTTGCATATGTATATGCCTGGGTGTATGTAGATGTGTCTGTGCATGTATACGTGTGTGTAAGTGCGCATGTACATGTGTTTGTTTGTGCGTCTGGCTAGGTATAGGCATATGTCTCTTTGCAAGGTAGAGACACTCAAGCAGAGAGGGAGAGAGAGAGAGAGAGAAAAAAAAAAAAAACGAGAGAACAGTGGGAGCAGGGTGTGGCACCGTCCGTTGACATACGAGACGGTGGGTCCAGCGTGCAGGCACGGGGCATTGGGGAGCCTTCTGGCAGGTTTTTTCTTGTGCCAGGCGGCCGCGCGGCTCGACGCACACGCACTGGGCGACGTCCACGGCGCGAGATGTTTTGGCGGCCGTGAGGGCCTCAGGCTGTTAGGGGCCATTGCAGTCCTCCTCCTCCTCCTCCTCCTCCTCCCTCCTCCTCCTCCCTCCTCCTCCTCCTCCTCCTCCTACTCCTCCTCCTCCTCCTTGCTTGCCGTTTGGCTGAATGGGGGAAGCAATTGCCCTGGCGAAGGGCCCAACCACATGTAGCTGCGAGTGCCGCGTGCAGGCGAGGGCATTGGGCCGCTGGGGCCTTCGGTGGAGCCCAACTAAGGGCCACGGAGCGCGTGAGGGGTGTGCCGAATTGGATGCGGGTGCGTCATGCGGACGCTGCCGACGGGGCCATCGGTGGAGCTCCCTCAGGGGCAACGAAGCATGTGAGAGGTGTGCCGGATTGAGTGCGGGTGTGCCATGCGGACGTTGCCGCTGGGGCCTTCGGTGGAGGTCCCTCTGGGGCAGTGAAGCGTGTGAGAGGTATGCCGACTTGGGTGCGCATACGCCATGCGGACACTACCGCTGGGGCCTTCCGCGGAGCTCCCCCTGGGGCCACGAAACGTGTGCGGGGTGTGACGAATAGGGTGCGGGTGCGCCATGCGGACGCTGCCGCTGGGTCCTTCGGTGGAGCTCCCTATTGAGCCACGAAGCGTGTGCGGGGCGTGCCGAAGTAGGCGCGGGTGCGCCATGCAGGCGCTGTCGCTGGGACCTTCCGTGGGGCTCCGCATGGGTCGTCGGAGCATGTGATGGGGTGCACGGGAACGTGTGAGGAAGATGCATGATTCCTCTCGCTTCGCGGGGTGCACGTCCGGAGCACGTACAGTCACGTCGTCGCGGGGCCTCTTGGGAGCCTCTTGGGTGCCTCCTGGAGGCCTCCTGGGAGTTTCTTTTGGCCTCTTGGGGACTTCTTTGGGGCCTTTCCCCCCTCCCTCCTTTTCATACGCCCTCCCCATCTTCCCTTCCAGCGCCGGCTCTAATCATGGGCGCCGCAGCGACCAACTTCCACCTGGCTCGCGCTGCGCCGCAGTTCGCCCAGAGGGGGGAAAATAACATTACACTCCAGTCGCTGTGTGGCCTTTGGGTTTTTTTTGGGGGGCCTTTTGGAGGCTTCTGGGGGGCTTCTTGGAGGCTTCTTGGGGGCCTCTTGGGGCCTCTTGGGGGCTTCTTGGGGCGCTTTTGCGCCGTTGCGCCCCCTCGGAGGCTGCCTTGGGGGCCTCTCGCCGCCGCATTGGAGCCCTCTTGGGGTCCTCTTGGGCCGTCTTCGCGGCCTCTTGGACCGTCTTGGGGGCCTCTTTGGGCCGTCTTGGGGCCCTCTTGGGCCGTCTTGGGGGCTTCTTGGGCTGTTCTGGGGCGATTCTGGAAACTGTTTGGGCCGTCGTGGATTGTTGGAAGTCGAGAAAGGCGAGAACGCTAAAATATTGCAGAAACCATAGGACAATCAATGACTGCGGGCTCTGGAGGCGCAATTATGGGTGCTCTTGGGGCCCTCTTGGGCCGTCCTTGGGGATTTGGGGGCCCTCTTGGGGCCGTCTTGGGGGCCTCATGTGCCCTCTTGGGGCCGTCTTGGGGCCGTCCGTCTTGGGCCGCCTTTGGACCATCTTAGGCCATCTTGAGGCCTTCTTGGAGCCCCAGGAGGCCCAAGAGGCCGAATTTGTTGATTTCCCAACGAGTTTTTGAATGTTTCTGGGGCCCCAGAAGGGGGCGACCAGTTTGGTACGGCGCTGCGGCGCGGCTCCCAGGGGGGGGGTGTAGGGGGGGTGACATAATAATGTAAGAATATACGATATGTTGCAATTATGGAATCTTTGGATACATTGGATACGTTGCATTAAGGCGTTCGCCGAAAAACGCTGCCGCTCAGCACGTCACCTCCTGACGTGGATTCATTGGCTTACGCCACACCGCCGACCCCTTGGGGCGGCAGCAATCGTCCCCCGCGTGGCCTGTCCGGACAGCCTTTGAGGCCCCTCTAGATCCGTTGTGGGGCCCTCTTGGGACCGTCCTGCCGTTCCCCTGGGCCGTTGTCATGGTTTCTGGGGCCTTCCTGGGGCGCCCGGAGGCCGTCGTGGAGCCTTTTGGAGAGTCTCTTGGGGTGCCAGAGGTCGATCTTGGAGGTTGACTGGGCCGTTGTGGGCCGCGTGGAAGCCCAAGAAACGAATATGCTGAAAATGTACGTGCCCCCAAGAGAATGGGACGGTTTTTGCTTGTAGAGGCCTGCTTGGAGCGCCGAGTGATCGCGTATGCAAACGTCTTGGACGCCCACGGGGTTGTCTGGAGGCAATCGTGGGCGGTTTGGACCGAAACGTTCCGTGCGTGGGCCGTCCGGACAGCCTTTGGGAGCCCTCTTGCCCCGTTCTGGAGCCCTCTTGGGACCGTCCTGCGGTTTTCCTAAGCCGTTGCTATGGTTTCTGGAGCGTTCGTGGATCGCCCGGAAGCCGTCTTTGAACCTTCTTGGGAGCCTCTTCGGGTGACAGGGGTCGATATTGGAGGTTTATTGGGCCGTTGTGGGCCCCGTGACAGCCCAAGAAGCGAATGTGTTGAACATGTACGTTTCACCTAGGGAATGGGACGGTTTTTGCTTGTAGAGGCCTGCTTGGAGCACCTCGTGGTCGCGTTTTCAAACGTCTTGGACACCCATGGGGCCGTCTGGCGGCGATCTTGGGCGGTTTGGATCGAGTCGTCCCCCGCGTGGGCTGTCCGGACAGCCTTTGGGGCCCCTCTTGACCCGGTTTGGAGCCCTCTTGTGACCGTCCTGCGGCTTTCCTAAGCCGTTGTTATGGTTTCTGGAGCCTTCGTGGATCGCCCGGACGCCGTCTTGGAGCCTTTTTGGGAGCCTCCTGGGCTGGCGAGGGTCGATCTTGGAGGCTTATTGGGCCGTTTTGCGCCGCGTGGAAGCCGAATGGGCGAACGTGGTGAAAATGTACGTTTCCCCCGGGATTGGGACGATTTTTGCTTTTGGAGGGCCTCTTTGGGGCGCTTCGTAATATTGTTTCAAACGTCTTGGGGACTTATGGAGCCGTGTGGAGGCAATCTTCGGCGTTTTGGGGCGATCCTTCGTCGATTCGTAGGTCTCTTGGACCATTCCGGGAACCTTTGGAACCTTTTTGGCCTGGTTTGGGGCCTCCTGAGTGTGCGGATGATGGATTTGCCCCCCCCCCCCCCTCCAAACCGGCCGGACCAGGCCCCCGGGGAAGGGGTTTGGGGAGGGGGAAGCATCTCACACGCCTGGACCCCAAGGGGTCGGCGGATGACGGGAAGCGTCTTCGAGGAACGAGAAGCGAGCTGGACGTTTTGGCTGAATCCTCTTCATATCAGTAAGAGATCTCTTAACTATAGGGGGTGGCGGGGTGCACGGGGAAGAGGCTTAGCGGATTCCTCGGGATGGCGATTTTACGTGAGACATCCTCACAAAAATGAGATCTTCGCGACATCACGTTTAACAGAAACAAGCGTTTCGCTCGAGACATCCTCGAAAAGTTGATGACAGCGAAATTTCGCCGTCTGTGAAAATGTGCGTTTCGCTCGGGACATCCTCGAAAAATGAGATGACGACTGAAGTATTTAACTAACTCTTCTGTTAAGAATTGCGATGTCGCTAGGGACATCCTCAGAAAACGAGCGGCAGCACGGCGGACCAGAACGAAGAGCACGGCAGAAAATGTGCATTTCGCTAGGGACATCCTCAACAAAATGAAATGTCCTCAACGTCGTCTTCATATCATTCTAGAAGTACCTCAAGATGACGAAATGAGAGGCCAAAAAGCACGTCAATATGGCTGTCAGAACGATTGGGGGACTTTCCGAAAATAGCGATTTCGCTAGGGACATCCTCAAAAAGTGAAAACATACACCAGCATCGACTTGAAAACTGTTGTTCTTACATAGTTTTGACTCTGCTTCTGAAAAGGCTTCCAAACGGCCCAATGCAGCCTTCTAAAAATGTCGATGTCGGTAGGGACATCCTCAAACAATTGATGCGTGCGACATCGCATCGTCATGATTTTAGGAGGGCATCAGGAAGCAAAAGAAGGCCACAACATGGCCCCAAGAGCGCCCTTACGGTTGCTGAAAATAGTGATTTCGCTAGGGACATCTTCAAACAAATAACAAATCGAACAACATCGTTTTGAAAACTGCTGTTTTAACATCGTCTGGGGATCGCTCCTGAAAAGGCTTCTAGATGGTTTACGCCAGTCATCTAAAAATGACGATTTCGCGAGGGCCATCCTGAAAAAATGAATGTGTGTAACATCGGACTGTAACGGTTTTGTAAGGCATCAAGAAGACCCCCAAAGGCCCCAACCCAAACAAGCCCAAATTTGACCCCCAGGAGCGCCCTCGAGACGATCCAACATGGCGATTTCGCCTGAGACATCCTTACAAAAATGAAATGTTCACAACATCGATTTCATCAAAAAATGAGCGTCTCGCCTGAGACATCCCTTAAACATGGGAACCCGCGAATTCGACAGATGTTAAAAAACTAGCGTCTCGCCTGAGACATCCAAACAAAAATGATATCTTGGAGTGGCGGTTTCAATACCTCTCATGTTTAAAATCGCGCTCTCGCTGCATACATCCTCAAACAAATCGGGCGGAGCATGGCCGGCGAAAAAAGTGCTCCTTCGCTCTTGACGTCTATTCTGCCGTGCTCTTTCGTTCTTGGGGTCTATTCTGAAATGCTCCTTGGTTTTTTGTGCCGTGCTCCTTCGCTCTTCTAGCCTATTCTGCCATGCTCCTGGCCAGTTTCCGTCACAATCCTTTGTTCTTGGGACTTCTGATGCCGTGCTCCTGGTCGGTTTCTGCCGTGTTCCTTAGCTCTTGGGGCACATTCTGCCGTGCTCCTTCGCTTTCGGGGTTTATTCTGCCGTGCTCCTTGTGTTTTTCTTGCATACTCCTTCTTCCTTGGGACGTATTATGCTGTATTCTTGCATCTATCTTGCCGTGCTCCTTAGCTCTCGCGGTCTATTCTGCCGTGCTCCTGGTCACTGGTCGTGTTTTGCAATGCTCCTTCTTTCCTGGCGCCTATTCTGCCGTGCTCCTCAGCTCTTGGGGTCTATTCTGCCGTGCTCCTGTTTTTTTGTCTGTCATGCTCCTTCGCTCTTGGGGCCTCTTCTGCCGTGCTCCTCAGCTCTTGGGGTCTATTCTGCCGTGCTCTTTGTTTTTTTTTCTGCCGTGTTCCTTCGCTCATGGGGCCTATTCTGCCGTGCTCCTGGTCTTTTTTCTGCCGTGCTCCTTAGCTCTGGGGTCTATTCTGCCGTGGTCCTGGTCTTCTTCTGCCGTGCCCCTGAGCTCTGGGGGTCTATTCTGCCGTGCTCCTGGTCATTTTCTGCCGTGCTTCTTCGCACTTGGGGCATCTTCTGCCGTGTTCCTTGTCTCTTCGGGCCTATTCTGCCGTGCTCCTGGTCTTTTCTGTCGTACTCCTTGGCTCCTCGGGCCTTTTCTGCTGTGTTTCGGTCTTTTCTGCCGTCGTCCTTAGCTTTTGGGGCATCTTCTGCTGTGCTCCTGGTCTTTTTCTGGCGTCTTTTTCGCTCTTGGGGCCTATTATGCCGTGCTCCTTAGCTCTTGGGGTCTATTCTGCCGTGCTCCTGGTCTTTTTCTGCCGTGCTCGGCAGCTCTTGGAGTCGATTCTGCCATGCTCCTGGTTTGTTTCCGACGTGCTCCTTCGCTCATGGGGCCTATTCTGCTGTGCTCCTGGTCTTTGTCTGCCGTGCTCCTGCTTTTTTTCTGCCGTGCTCCTTCGCACTTGGGGCATATTCTGCCGTGTTCCTTGTCTCTCGGGTTCTATTCTGCTGTGTTCCTCGTCTTTTTCTGGTTTGCTCCTGCGCTCTTGGGGTCTATTTTCCCGCACTCCTTCAGCTCTCGGGGTCTACTCTGGCGTGCTTCTGTTTTTTTCTGCCGTGCTCCTTCGCTCTTGGGGCCTATTCTGCCGTGCTCCTGGTCATTATCTGCCGTGCTCCTTAGCTTTTGGGGTCTATCCTGCCGTGCTCCTTGTCTTTCTATGCCGTACTCCTTCGCACTTGATGCATATCCAGCCCTGCTCCTTAGCTCCTGGGGTCTATTCTGCCGTTCTCCTGGTCTTTTTCTGCCGTGCTCCTTCGCTCTTGGGGCCTAATCTGCCGTGGTCCTGTTTTTTTCGTCGTGCTTCGCTCTTGGGGCCTATTCTGCCGTGCTCCTGGTCATTCTCTGCCGTGCTCCTTAGCTTTTGGGGTCTATCCTGCCGTGCTCCTCGTCTTTCTCTGCCGTACTCCTTCGCACTTGAGGCATATCCAGCCCTGCTCCTTAGCTCCTGGGGTCTATTCTGCCGTGCTCCTGGTCTGTTTCTGCCGTGCTCCTTCGCTCTTGGGGCCTAATCTGCCGTGCTCCTCGTCTTTTTCTGCCTGCTCCTTAGCTCTTGAGGTCTATTCTGCCGTGCTCCTGGTCATTTTCTGCCGTGCTCCTTAGCTAATGGGGTGTATTCTGCCGTACTCATTTGCTCTTGGGGTCTATTCTGCCGTGTTCCTTGTCTTTCTCTGCCGTGCTCCTTCGCTCTTGGGGCCTATTCTGCCGTGCTCCTCATCTTTTTCTGCCGTGTGCGCCCAGAAGCTCTGCCAAAACGACCACCGCGACGATCCGCACGGCAGATACAGGAACACGGCAGAACACACAGAGCACACAGAGGCACGGCAGAACACAGGAGCACGGCAGAACAGGAGCACGGCAGAATACACAGGAGTACAGCAAAACACACCCCGCACGCACGCCGACACGCGCGCCACGGCATACCTGCGCGGCATAACAACAACAGGGCATTTTCCACATGCTTGGTGGACTAAAGCGACGCTTCCCGTTCCTGTCTGGTCAGGTCTCCGCTTTGCTCGCGCTTTGGCGCGTTATTGGGCGCCATGGGGACGACCACAAGCCTCCGCTGATGGGCCTGTTTCCCACCACCGCCACTATAAGTTGGAGGGGGGAAGGAGGTGGAGGATGAGGAGGAAGAGGAGGAGGAGGATCCCCTCCCCCTCCTACTTATGGTAGTGGTGGTGGAAAACAAGCCCACCATCCGCGAGCTACCTTTTATTGCAGGTGCGGCCTGGAGCTTCTGCTCCGCGTGTCGCCGCGTCGGCCCCGGCGACGCGCCGTGCCCCGCCGTGGCTCCGCTCCGCGGGGCGGGGGGGGGCTCGGAGAGGCCTCGGGACGTGGAAGCCCGGGGCCCGGGAAGGGCCGGAGCGTGCTGCTGCCGAGGCGGTGGTGGTCGGGAGCCTTGAGACGGGGGTCAATGCAAACGGGGGTCAGCCAGAGCACCCGATCTCGCAGGATCCTGCGGGGCCAGAGTCGCATTGACCCGGGCTTGGGTGCAGGATCCTGCAGGATCTTGCAGGATCCCTCGCATTGACCCAGATTTGGGCGCAGGATTTTGCAGGATCTTGCAAGTCCTGACTGACCCGGGTCTGGATTGACCCGGGTCAGAAGATCCCCGAGGTGGGCCCGAGCGGGCGGAGCGACGCGCGCTCCCAGCACGCCCAAGCCGTCAGAGAGGAGGCCGGGCTGACCTGGCAGGCGCGAGAGCGGCGGGGCCGTGTCGGCGTCGGGGGGGGGGGGGGCAGGGCGGGGACGGGCGGGGCCCTCGCGCGGGAGCGCGCGAAGCGGCCCGCAGGCATCCTCTTCCTCTGGGGGTGGCAGGAGGCCCACTCCCAGACCAACGGCGCCGGGCACGTCTACAACCCGTACTCGGCCGCGGAGGCCAGTGCGTTCTCTGCCGCACCGTGCACCGTGCAGAAGCGAGTCTACGGGAACAACAAGTGACATAAACATAAAAACTCAGAGGTCCGCGCGGATTTCTCGGATCGGCGCTGGGGCCCTCCAGCGGCGGCTCCGGCGCCGCCCCTGGCGCGCTCCGCGCGCCAGGGAGGGGGGTCCAGCGCCGATCCGAGAAATCCGCGCGGACCTCCGAGTTTTTATGTTTATGCCATCTTTTGTTCCCCTAAGATCAGGAGGGAAAGAAACACACAGACACAATTAATCGTCGACTCCCAGGAAAATATGGGAAAATATGGGAAGTGGGGGGGAAGACAGAAACCCAGAAAATATGGGAAAATATGTGGGATTTTTTTATTTGTGTGTATTTATTTGTGTGTCCTGTGGCCCCTTCATAAGAGTATCCTCAGGCCAAGGGTGCTGGTCCCCGAGCCTGCGCTCCCTCGGCCTCTGGCCCGAGAAGCAGGCGGCGGAGGAGGGGAAGCAGGGAGGAAGCGTGAGGGAAGGCAGACGGAAGGGGCCGGCAGGCGGAGTGGGATGGCTCGGGGCGCAGTGCGAGGCGACGACAAGTGCGTACGTTTGAAAGCAATCGCCGTTAGGCGAAATTGGAGGTCGGTCGTGGTCTCTCTCTCTCTCTCTCTCTCTCTCTCTCCCTATATATAATAGTAATAGTAATAATAATAATCATAATAAATAATAATAATAATAATAATACTAATAATAATAATACTAATAATGTATATATCTTTATTTTCTCTCTCTCTCTCTCTCTCTCTTTTGTCTCTCTCTCTCTCTCTATATATATATATAAGTAAGTAGCACTTGCGCTCCCTTTTGAACGTAACCCTGCTCTGGGGGTCGGGGCACCCTTGCGATCCATCCTTCTTGCCCTCTGCGGCCCACCACAAGAGGCGATGCATCTCCTTGTGATCTCGAACGGTCATGATGTCGATGTCGGTGATGATGCCATTGCTGAGGGTGCTGGTGATTGCCCCGGGGCGCTGGAAGTCGGCCTGCTCGCCCTCACTCCTAGTGAGTATCGTCTTGGCCTTTTGCGGCAATCCTCCAGCTGCAGGAAGGCGTGCCGTGGGCGGCGGGGGATTCAGCCTGGAGGGTTCGGCGCAGGGGGCTCCTGGGGGGGCCTGTGGAGGCCGACCTCCCGTGCCGTCGCCCGAGCTCGGAGGCGCTGCTCGACGGGATGACTGCGCGGCTGCCCGGCTGCCGCCGCAGCCTGGCACCGCCCGGGCGGCCGCTCGGAGCTCTGGGCCAAGGGCCAACGAGCTGGCGGGGTGAGGGCGAGGATGGGGAGGGTGAGCACCCCGTTGCCCGCGGCCGGGTCACGGTGCCAGGGCTGCAAAGGGGGGGTTGGCCATGCAGCCGCCGTTGGCCCGATCTGCGGCCAGCGCTTCTTGCGCCGCGGTCCCGGTCGCGTCTCGTGGGAGGTGCGCCGGCCGCGCGCTGTTGTGGGTGCTCTTCTGGGGCTCAGGCCCTGGGGGGGCGGCTTCCTGCCTCCCTACTGCTCCACGGCAGCAGCAGCAGCAGAGGCAGTGTGCTGCGAGGTGAGCATCCCGCCACGGAGCGTGTCCGCCTTGAGTAGGTGCGGCGGCCCTGCACAGAGAGTGCCGCTGCGCTTCTCCGCAAATCGCCTCTTGGGACGCTTGGGTGAGCACGCCGTGGAGACAGCCCAGGTGTGGCACTGACGCGGCGAGCCAGTGCCCGAGAGCAGAGAGCAAGCCAAAGTAGGAGTGGCTGCCAGCAGGGACTCCAATCCGTCGGGTCTGGCACGCTCGATGTGCAATCGTCATGGCGCCATCTGTGTGTTGCACTGTGTGTGTTTGTGTGTGTGTGCCGTGGAACGGTGTAACTTATGGGGTTCGTGATTGGATGGTGCTATCTGTGAATCGTGCATGTGCAATCTATGCGGTGCAATCGATGTGGCGCATTATACAGGGTGCAGCTTGTGTGGTGCAACCTACCAGATGCATTGTATGTGGTGCAAGCTATGCGGAACAGTACACGGGGCGCAATCACTCTAGGCCGCATCCGCGCGTGACCACCTGTGATGTTCGCGCGTGCATTCCACCCGCCAACTCGCAACGTATCGGCAAAACTCCATCGGGCGTTGGCAACGACCACGACGATGACGACGATGGATGCTGTTCATGACGATTGCGGGGACGATGTCGACGACGAAGACGATGGTGATGGTGATGAGGTTGATAGCGAGCGATGGGAATGACGGTGGCAATGATGACGTTAGCGATGATGACGACGATGGTGCTGGTGGGTATGATGAGGAAGTGCGTGCGCGCGCAGAAATGTAACGAGGGCGACGACACCGACTATGACGATGATGCCAGCGTCGGTGATGATGATGATGATGATGATGATGATGACGACGATGGTGATGATAAAGACAATGACGATGGCATTGATAGTGCTGACGCTAATGCGAACGATTGCTGATGAGGATCGTGCGGGAGTGCGCGCTCGCAGAATCCAGAGTGTCGCACATAGCTTGGTTGAAGCAGCATGTGTGTTTCGTACGTCTCCGATTGAACACGTCTGTTACGAACAGCTCAGACAACATCTGGTATTAGAAGGATATAGACGTGCGCGCGCGAAGATGAACGCGTGTTGCCCGCATATCTTCGTTTGACAGAGTTGGCGGGCGCGCGATGGTCCTTCACCGTTTTCGACATGCGCGCGCGCTTGTCCCGTAT